ATGGACTGTCACGGGTATTGTTGAACATAAGATGGCAATACTAGAGAGCCATATACACGTCTTCGAGCCTTGTTCAGTGCTTCAGTTTTCAGTTGCACTGAGTATACAAATAGCTTTGTCTCTTTGTCTCCGAAGAAAAACAAATTGCAGTGCTGTCCTCATCGCGAATCCTACAGTCCGCTTGGTTGGTTTATAACATTCATTTTACATAACTATTTCTCTCCTAAATCTATTTGTTCTTGCACCGGCCAGTCTCAAATGTTTCCACAGGTTAATTTTTCCTGACGCTTATTGTTCGATATAATACAAAGGAAAATTTACGCGTATTAAATCGTTGCGTTGGGGTCCGAATATTGAAATTAATATCTCTCTACTGAAATATGGGTACTGAAACCTTCGTTTGAGCAGCTTACTCCGCTATTGCATGCGCGGAAACCTACATATGTCTTATTTAAAGCGGTAAGCCTTTCTGCAATGTGAAAGCAGCATTAAATCTGATTGAGCGAGTGAGTTACCAGACAGTTATTCAACGGTTATTTTGTTCATTTTGTTCACCTCGTGAATGTGGAGTGGTCGGAAGCGATCTCAGCAAACGGTCCCATTTTCTAGAATAGAGCGAATAAGGGAAGTGATATTGAAAGTGCGATATAACAGTTATTTGTCCTGGGGAACCTCAGTAACTTATTGCAATTTTTAAAATATGTAATGTTAAGAGCCTTGAAAGGCAAACATGCTGCACAAGCAAGAAAATACATTTTAAAAACGCACCTTACCAAAGTCTTTTTTCGTGACGAACCCCGCCTCAATTAGTCTCCACCCTGTTCCCCGACCCTTACTCTGGCCTCATCCCCGCCTCACTCACCACTATCTCCATGGCTAGGTCGAATTCAGCGACTGTCTGGAGGAGAATTCTAGCTCTGATCTGTAGTTTTTCGATGCTTCTCCGATCAATACACGGCGAACGTTGGTGCAGTACCCTAACAAAAGGGCTATTGACACCGCGCGATCTTTTCCTTTTTCTTCTTCTTCTTCTTCTTCTTCTTCTTCTTCTTCTTCTTCTTCTATCTTATCCCGTCCTCATTCTCTATCTACATTACTTAAACGTGTATGCACTACACTACATGTCAGGACCTTAAAGTTTGATCTGTTAGGAGAGGTGACATGCTCTTGGATGATACCTGGTCGGGGGAAAATCTCGTGAAACAACGTAGGTTGGCGCCAGATCTCACCCTCTAGCGAGGAAGATCACCGCCAACTCCCACGATAAGAAGCACGCACAACATTTACGGGACCAATGACCTTAGCAATTGACGCGTCGGAAAGTACTAATTAATCATTCAATCAATAAATTACCGCCACATCCCTACCTCTCCCCCGTCTCACACGATGCAAATCCACACCCAGTCCGCCCTCGCTCTGGCCCCACATATTTCTCGCCGCGACTCTCCCCCCCCCCCACTCACGCACATACTCCGCCTCTTTCACATCCCAACTGCAACTGGAAGAGATGGCTCAGAGCATCAACTGATGTCGCTGCTGTCCGTTTGACTGAGAGCTCATAGGTTTGAGTCCCGGCGGTGGCAGGATTTTCGACAGTAGCTTGTCAGCTAGGTCAAATTCAACCGCTGTCTTGAGGAGAGTTCTAGCAGCCGTTCTATCTGATCGGTAGTTTTTTGAGGTTTCTCCAATGAACCCCAGGCAAATGCCGAAGCAATACTGCGCGCGATCTTTCATACCTCTTCCTTGTCCTTTCCTCTCCCCTCACACACACACCCAGTTACACACACTACACTTCCACATATGCCGGGGGACCGGACCGGTCGGGAGCTTAGATCTTGTCCCGGCTGGGGCGGTGCCCCGCTGGTGGAAGATACCTGGTTGGGGATATCCCCGCTAGCCGACGGTAGGTCGGCGCCGGATCTCGCCGTACAGAGAGGGAACACCACCTTCACCTCCCGAGCAAAACCTACACCTACCGTAAGTCTTACGGAACTAATGACCCTAGTAGTTGACGAGCCCGGAATCACCAATAATAATTTCAATCAACATCCGAACTGCGCCGCGACCATCTCGTAATCGTCCGCCTTCCCCCTCCACGCTCCATCGACCCCATCCCCCCGAACCCCGACTGCTAGCTGGCTTTATCAACGCCCCGCCCCGCCGCGCCCCGCCACCCACCCTGCTCTGCTCTCGCGCGCGCAGGCACGCGCCGGCGCGCCCACGAGCTACGCGGCGCTCTACGCGCAAACACACTCGCGCGGTGAAGATTCAGACTGCAATATGTACATCCGGGCGACGCGCGCTCGGCATTCAGCGGCGTATGCCTCCCCGCCTGAGGCGGCCGCCTGTGTTCCACCTCGGCGTTCCTTCGCGTATACGCGCGCCTTTCCTCATGGCCTCCCGCTCGTGACATTTCAGCACGCGTCTTCTGACCCTACGCTGTTTGTCTGTACGTCAACGTGGACTCGTTTCTCATCATCACACCTTCCTCCCTTCGTTTCTTTACGGCTTCGCTCTATCCCTACTCCCCGTTTCTCAGTCCTGCACGACTCCGTCCGCTGGCATTCTCTCATGAGTCCTCAACCTCTTGTAGTTGTCTGTCAACCATGGTTTTCTCCTCTTCTCTTTATTCGTCTGCTAGAACGGGGCTGTCCAACTGGTGGCCCGTAGTGCGATTCATTGCGGCCCGCGAAAGATTGTTAGGCAAATGTTTCAGACCCTTTCTTTCATCTCGGGCGAGAATATTGTGCACCTAGCGATTTCGCCCTGTCGGGATAAACACTCCCTTTAACAAAAAAAAGGACTTTTAGATTTTAGGAATTTTCACCTTGTCTATTCAGAAATTCAATATCATCCTTATGTGATTAACTGTGTTATGCATTGTAGAGCCTGATGTATCATGCGTAGTTTAATTCCCCCTTACCCCGCTCGTTTCAGAGCATCCAGGAAAACAGCCGATATCAACAAAATGAGGTCACGTATAATGCAAATATGTCCCGCAACCATATTAAAGATTTTAGTTGTGACCCTTGAGTCCTTTGAAGTTGAAAACATTTGTTCTAGACCATCAAGTCTCTGTTTCTTTGTTGTTGCAACTTTTACCGACTGTTCGTTTAAAACTTGAACCCGTCCCCTCACATTCAGAGCCATTTTTTCATGAGTGCACCGTTCTTACTGAATTTCTATCCGTCGTGATCGACTCTTTCAGTCTTCACACTATCTACTTTTCTTTCCTTACTCCTACACTCTCCCTGACTCTCTTTTCGTTACTACAGCCCGTCGCCTTCCCTCCAGTGCCATTATTTAATGTATTCTCCGGAATTACTGTTTTTGGCTATCCATAAACATCGGTTCTCCTCTCTTTTCATTTCTAATTCCCGCTATTGAATCCTTGTTTCTTCGACCTTCCACCTTCACCTTCGCAATCAATCACTTCACCCTCCACCTTCAATTTTTCGCAATCAATCACTCAATTCCAACTGCACCCTTTCTCTTCATTGTGTTATACGTTCTCTTCCCTTTACCCTTACCTGCTGTTTCGCCTTTCACCTCTTCCTTCACCACCACCCTACTTCCCTTTATACGTCTTCCCCGCTTCTCTGCCTTCACATCTACCCTCACTTCGTCTCCGTCCCTCGAAGTCACCCCGTCCTACAATCATTATCTTCTCTCACCCTTCGTTCTTTGTTCCAGAGTTCTTTAATCTCACTTAATATTGTTCTCCTCATAATTCTACCTCTTGTTTCCTCCGCATTAACCTGCTCACTCCTCCTGCCCTCTCATTTTGTACCTTTGAAATCTCAAATCTCCCTACCCTCAGCATCCCTCCTTCTTTCTGCAACCGCCTCCGCCCTGGAGCATAAACGCCCAGGCGTCCGGTCCGTGGCCTCCGCGACGCGAAGCCCTTGAAAGAGCGCTCGCCTCTTGTGTAATCCGAACCCGGCTCGCGCAGCGCCGCGTTCCAAAACATACCCGCTCGCAGAAGAAAGCCCGCGAGGAAAGTCCGTGCATTCAGCAGCCGCGACGCCGAACGCCGTGGCGTGAGGAGCAAGGGGCAGGCTGCACGTATCTGAGTGGGGCGAGGAAGGGACGGTGGCGCGGGGCGGGGAGAGTCTGACCGGCCGGGGTGAGTCGGAAGAGGACACGGGTGGGCGCTAGACGTCGGAGTGTGACGGGATGGAGAGGAGATGGCTAGGGATGAAAGAAAAGGAACGGTTCCGAGCGGAGTTAACTGTGCGCTACGGAGTGGGGAGTCACTGAGAGGGACTGAACGGGGTCAGACGGAATGGGCAGAATGGGGAGGAATACGGTTGGAGGGAGAGAAACCAAGTGGTACGGAATGAGGAGGAGCTGAGAGGACCTGAAAAGGATGAGAAGCACAGCGGGACACAACGGCGCAAAAAGGGATGGATTGGGTGGAGCAAAATGGTCTGTTGCGGCACGAAGATGGTCTGAGCCAAGGGGAAAGAGACCGCTATGAGCGGAGTAGGCCGGGGATATGCTGAGCAGAGCTGGAACGGGGTGAGGCTGGTCTGGAGCGCGTACAGCAGATGCGCGAACACGCAGGAAGGATACCGAGCAGGTCATGGGATGACGAGGGACTGAATAGAGAGGCCGGTCGAATTGGGGTAGGGTGGAGACAGGCTGTGCCAAGCGGATAGCGTGGAGACGAAATATGTGATGCGCGAATAGTGAGAAGGTGTGGAGAGGAAGGGACAAGATGAGGTGGGGATGAAAGCAGTTGGCTCGAGTGGAGAGGAACTGGGGGGAAATTGGGACGCGCTGTGCAAAGCGGAAAGGGGACGCGGGACGGGGATAAAGTGTGGTATGGAAGGTGCCATACAACAATTAGAATGAGATAGAGCGGAACGTGTTGATGAGTGGCCAGTGCGAAGGGTTGGCCAGAGTACGACGCAGGTGGTGGGATGACGTAGGAGAGGGAGCAAAACGAGACGAGGCGGGCAGGAATGGATGAGTAAAGGGCGGAGGTGAAAGATGCGATGCGTAGTGTGAAGGGATGGAGAGTATATGTTGAGGCGGGCATGAAGGCAGTTGGAGCTGTTAGAGTGGAACGGGACAGAGCGGAAGTCGGGTTGAGGGAGGTAGAAACGGGATGGGGCGCGAGAAGGGAAGGTGAGGTACAAGAGATAGGGTGAGGTAAAGCGGAACGTGGCGGTGGACGAGCAAATGCAAAGGGGTGGTAGGGTGCGGTGCCGGGGGGGGATGAGGAGAGGGGCAGGCGGGTCGGGCGGGGCGGGAGATGCATTGGGCGGTGTTTAGACTGCGTTGGCGTTCAAACTCGAGGCGGCGTGGTGGCGACCGGAATGCAAGGTGGGCGCAAAAGGTCAGGGGAGGATTTTCGGATAAATCCGCAAGCGCTGCGGCGCGTGCGTGTATTAAACATTTAGCTTTAAAGAGCACATGTAAGATACGCGATGGCTCCGCATTTATTTACCAGCTGGTCGCTTTAGAAACATGTAGTTGAATCATTTCTTGTCTTCAGAGTTAAGACTTCCTATTTTTTTGTGTTTTATAACGGTCCTAAATGTCGAATTTCCAAGAATTGCGTAGATGTAGTTGACCATAGTAAATCTTCAATTATATTTGCGGATCTTGGGTCTTCTCGACTCAGGTAAAATATTAATAATTGGTTTTATATTTGATGAACAAAATTTTTGGGACATGTGAGCTCTTCTGCAAGAAATAAAATGCGTTTATTGATAATTAGTAAATATGTTTGAAGTTAATACTTGGAGTGTAACAATTCAATTTCACAATTCAATGAATTGAATGTTGTTATTTTTGCTTTTGATATTTAGTTGTTTTGTATTAATAATATAGATGGAATGTTTATATTGTTTTCATACTTTACAATGGTATTCTTCGGTTGTGTATCTAAATTTTAATTGATTCACTTGTGTTATCGTGAATCAAACTGAGAGATTTTCTTCCGGAGGTAAACATACGTTTTAACTCGCATTACTTTTATGAGAAATGACTCAATGCTTGTAATGTTACCTTTACTTCGATGCAATAATAGGAAGTTAATTCCCATAAGAATGTAATGTTAAACAAAAAACATTGTATGAAATATGTCGAAACCAATCGTTGAACGTCATCACTTAAAAGTCAAGACATTTTTTTGTTGCAAATAGAATCAATTCTATTATTAATTCAAATTGCCTTTCAATTTCTATTGCGATTCTTTGCAAGACAATTAATAGCAACTCCTTTTTCAGGCTCATTCCACGTTAGAAATGCTGTGAAATATCTCTCTAATGTATTTGTGTTTTTTCCAGTTCATCCGGTGATTCAGGTGCCCAATCAGCTGGTGGGTGCGCCCACCGGAACTGACGTGACGTTGGAGTGTTACGTCGAGGCCTCTCCACGCTCCATCAACTACTGGGTTCGCGAAAAAGGTGAGTTCACAATCGCAGTACACACCTGCACTTTATTAGACTGATTTGTGGATTATATTGCGTTTTCAGGCCTCCAGTTTGGGATCTTTCGTTTCGCCTTATTCCTGCCTCCGTCAGGTTAACCGAAACACAGTTAGTAGATATGCCAGAACGCAATTTTCTTAAAGGGCATCTACCATAACATCGGTGAGTCCACTTTGCCAACTCGAAACTTATGGGTTGATACCGAAGGCATACGCTATTCACATGCGTGGGACAAATCCATTCCCAACCTCCTCTGAGGGAGGGGTAGTGCCACGACGAATCGAAGACCCAACCTGGGGCTCCAGGGCTGATCAGACCCGGGGGGGGGGCGCTAGGCCCTCTCCGTCTTCTCGTGGCGGCGACCTTGGTCCTAGCGATGCCAGTCACACTGAGGTACTGAGCAACTGGCTAGGAATTTCAAATTCGGAAGACGGAAGTCCCTATCCCATCAGCGAGAGAATTCATAGTAGCAATCAGTTTCATTTTAATCACAATCAGTGACAATGTAATTAGGCCGGTTGCTTACCCTTTCTGCAGGCTGCACTTTGTGAACATCACCATCGCCGCTTTTTACCCTCCCTGCAAATACAAGGAGCTGTGCCTGTGCCTGCGCGAAATTTGTAAGATTGCTCAATAGAACAGAAAGTAGATTGGAAGTGGGACTGCCAGTAAGAATGAGAAGTAGTGTTTGAAGGGGGAGGGATCACCTTCAAAATAACCCCGAAAATTACTTCGAGGAAAAAATAAATAGAAAAAATATATTATCTGATAAAGAATGCATATGTGTGTGAGAGTGAGTATTACAGTGAGAGTATGAAGACAAGCTATGAGTGTGTGTGTGTGTGTGTGTGTGTGTGTGTTTGTAAGCGTATATCGTTTAAAGTAGAAATAAAGACTTCATGAAATAGTTTCTTATTCTTTATATGAGAGTCGGAAGTCTTCGGGAATTATCTGCCTTGTGCAGTGGCATTCAGCAAGATTATGCAACTACTACTCAGCTGTTACTGGTAGTAATAATTATGATGTTAATATTATTATTAATAATAATAATAATAATAATAATAATAATAATCCACTTGAATTATATGCTTTATTTAAGAATGGTTGCCTAAAGAGTAGGGGTGTACTTAAATAGAATTTTCCCTCTCACAAATGTGTTGTGTTAAAGACAGTTTTCTATATAGTGTGATTGTCTTTTCAACAAATATTATAACTTTTAAAATAAATGTCTATTTGTCACTTGTTTGTTTTATTCCCTGTTATTTTTTATATCATGTATTACGATTAATTAGGAATGAGAGCCGCAAAACGCATCGACAGCACAGAAATTATACAGGCGATGTTTTACCCTTCTCGTTGGTTTCTCGGGGGCCTTGACAGCTTGGGGGCGTGGCTCGCCTCGGCTCCAGGCGGCGCAGGCCAGGAAGGCAGGTGGCCGGGGCGGAGGCGCCCGGTGCAGGGCGGGGCCCTCCTCGCCCAGGCTCTTATCTGACGGGCACGGGCGGCGGCGGCGGCGAGCGCCTGCCGATAAGGCAGTCTTCTGTTTTGTCGGCGAGAGCACCGCACCGCCCCGCACCAACCTCCTCGCAGCAGGTGCTGAGAGATCCGCTCCCGAGGGAGGCGGTCCCCCTTAATTACTTGCTATCGATTGTACATTAGTTAATTACTCGCAACTAATTAGCGGTGCGGCAAGAAAAGAAGCTTGAAATTTCCATTAACCCCGCTATGCGCTATAAAACATCATAAACCTCGAAAAGCGCCTCCGTTACTAACTAATCACGCTAAAAACACGTAGGTGGGAGGCCGGTGGCGCGCGCTGGAGGTGCCCGTGGCAGGCCCTTCAAGGGCTGAGGGCTGTCGGGGCAGATTTGCCTTCGGGGTGGGCTGTCTAATTAGCGCAGCCCGATAATCCCGATTTGCCCAGATGCTGCCTTATTTTCGCCCGCCCTCACCTGACAAGGCGATAGTGCATGTGGAGTTTTGTAAATGTCGGGCAGTGAAGGGAACGGGAGATTATAGAGGTTAAGCAAATGGAAAGTTTGAAAGAAGTGTACGCCAGATTCACCGATACTCGTTTTCATCGCCGGCTCCTTGTAGAACGACTGGACCAATGGTACAACTTATTTGAGTGTTTTACCAAATGGAAATTCTGGAAGTTGGATGCGACAATCAAGCTTACACGCGCATTTATCACCATCCATTTATGGTCGCTTGTGAATTTATTTATCAAACAGTTGATATACAGTAAGTGTGTCAGTAACGGAAGTACCTATTCTTTTCACAGACCGAAATAATTGAAATTATCAACAACGTTTACAATGTTCTATAACTGACTTCTTTTGTTATCTGATCTCAAAGGGGGATTTACCTTTTGTTTCCTCTTAGTAAATGTACATCGATTTTGCACACCGAATATCAGTTTTCTTTTCAGCAGCTATTTCATAAAATTTGGAACTTTTCAAAGGTATATACATCATTACAGTATCATGATTGTATAACATGTACAAATTATGTGACTCGCACTGCAAATCTCATCGATGTTGCTTACATCAACTCTTTAACTGAGATTAAACGGCGTATCGTAACCTACCCTATACTTACAAATGCGTAAAGATAAGTATGTGTCAGTCGTACACGACACTGCGAATAACAACGCGATCACAATGACGATGTGCATCTTTCCTTTAAATATCTTTTACCCACGTTCGTAAATGCTACCTTTGGTTACTTGTTTAATAAGTACTTCTGTATAAATGTAGAATGTGAAAATTTACGTATCAGTACAACATTAACGTATTACAACAACGTATTTAATCATTAATAATAATCTGTTCATTGAGTATTGTAGACTTCACTTGTCGATTTCTGTTTGCGCGTTCTAAAAATAAAGTATCAATGAGGTATACACAAAAAAACTTTTTCTTTCTAGTTGCCCGATAATTCACAGACAATGCTAATGGAGATAAACATATTGACATTCTGAAATAATTTATAACCGAACATAAAATACTGAACACTTGTGATATTTTCGCATTAAAAATATCTCTTGATGTTAAAACATATCAACAATCTCCTTTCCTGCGCAGGAACTATTTTATTTGTAAAATATCTGTTATTGTGCACCCAAATTAGTAGAAAAGACGTGAAATTAGAAAACAAATATTTTCTATCACTGAAAGTGAAATAAAAACTATAATTTTTTTTCTTATTAAATTACACTTCCTTGTTTTGCAGCATACATTATTTATAATAAATTTAGTCAAGGATATAAAAATACGATGATTATAGCAGGATGCAGTTTTGGTTTTATGACTCGTACATCATTCACGTCTTCTAAAAGGATTTAATTTCTCTAAAAGCTAGTTAGTAAACGAGAACGACAAATAATTTTTATAATGATTATGTAGATTATAATGATTATATAAATATAAATCATTATAGAAATAAATTTATTTATTCTAATCACGATTATTGTTACTTATTTTGAAATTTGTCTAGGCCTTGAAGCGGATAGTGTTTTTATTTTTAAAGCGGGTCAAGAAAAAGATAGCTTCATACGGAATCATGAATCATTATACTTTATTTCTTCATTTGTCAAGCTGCTTCCGAAATAAAATTTCAGCTAAGCCATCACCACTGAAAACAAAACAGTCTACAAACTTCAAAGTTTCCATTGGTTCCACGGAACTTCTATTTCGTTAAATCCCGGGTTCTGGGTATGTCCCATCGGCGCAGGCGCGGGCGGGCACAAACAGTTGAAGTAAGCCGCTCGCAACACTCCGCTTGGCGCACTCTTCTGGCGACGGGTGGGCGGACGGGGTGGGCGGCAAATTTGCATTTGAGATGAGTTGCAAACTGGCCGAGCTCCGATTACCTCCGTCGCCCCGAGCGGCAGCGCGTGGCAACAGGCGTTTTCCGCCCGCAACCACGCGGCGCTCCCCCGGTCGAGGCTTTCGAGTATCGTGTGTATCGAGACCGCGCGAGCTGGCTGGAAAGAGTGTCCTACGCATGCGGACTACGGGAGTGTTTTAAACCGTTTTGTTTTACCCGACCTAGCGTTATGGATGATTGTTAGTGATTCCGGGCGCATCAACTGCTAGGGTAATTAGACCCGTAAGTGTAGTGCATTTTTCCTTGGGAAGTGACGGTGGTCTTCCCCCGCTGGATAGCGCGATACGGCACCGACCTAACCGGTTGGCTAACAGGGTTTTCCCCAACCACGTTTCTCCCACCTGCAGGGCACCTCGCCATTCGGGACCAGATCTAACCTGCTGACTGGTCTCCCGTTAGGTACTTCCGTGTGGTAGTGTAGCGCATGCAAAGGTATGTGTAAAGGGTGAGGATAGGACATGGAAGAGGAAGGAAAGATCACGCGCTGCTCCAACATTCAGCTGGTGTTGATTGGAAATAACACGGAAAACTATCGATCACAGTTGCCGGCCGCCGGAATTTTCCTCCAGATAGCGCCTGAACTCGATCTAGTTGTCAAGCTAGTGTCGAAACTACATGATTATTTTTAATCGTTTTGTTTGAGACAACTTAGCAAATGCGAGTGTGGCTGAGATAGTTTTGAGGCGATGTAGTTGAATCGGCAGTGTTGTCAATATCTAGTTATGGAATTCCATCTGTGGTGCATTTTCAACTCTAGGCACATAACTAAGTTCAATTTAGAGGCTGATTGAAGCTGAAATCAAAGGGTCGGCTGCTCAAACCTGGGGTTAGCCGTGGTTTCACCGTTCATTACTAGGCAGAGTCGGAGCAGTTCCTTAAAACACGGGGCACAAGGCTCTCGTGTTCGTTTTCCTCATCCTAGCCTCTTCTTCCATAGCCATATTCTACATATCTCACGCTCTTCCACATACGAGCTCCCTTCTCTACTCTTGTACACACTTTCACTTACATGTACTGCTCTACTATTCTTGATGGAGCCTCTAGTTTGTCGCAGTTGGAGCGGTACATCTCTAGGGGAGTCCAA